CTCAGAGCCTGGAGCCTGCTTCGGATTCTGTCTCTCTGCCTCTCTCTGCCGCTTCCCAGCACATTTTCTGTCTCTCTCTGTCTCTCAATAATAAATACACGTCAAAAATTTTTTTTAAAAATCTGCTTAACAAACTAAAATCTTTTTTTTTTTTAATTAAAAAAAAGATGTAAGGGTGCTAGTTCCCAAGTTGCCAATATGCTGCCATTTTCTTACCATTCCACCAAGCCTTTCTGTCCCCAGCAAAAAAGTTCCAATTAAGTTAAAGCTATGGCTCTATGATATTCCTTTTAGAGTCTATATGACCTGGCTAAGTTAGGACACTGTAACAACATCAATTAGTCTGGCTGAGTAGCTGGCACTGCCTGCTTTGTTAGCTAAATATTATATAGTAGGTAGAAAACAGGACCAAGTAAATTTTACTGCAGAGGAAACCAGGGATGTATACAGTAGCAAACACGAAAAAAAGGATTCCTACTTTCCAAGAGCTTACTAAAACTTCCACTTGAAAAAGAATTCAGGAATCTGAAGCCAGAAACCAAATGTAAAGTCCAACATGGGCAAAAAAAGCTTTTGTAAAAAAAATTGTACAAATCCATAGAGACATTAATTCAGGTTTTTAAGAACTTGATTTAGGAAAAGCACATCATATTTGCAAACATCAGCGCTGTAAGAACCCTAATCAGTTTTCATTGAAAGTAATAGAAAAGATTTTCTTAGAAAAAATTAGGCACTGGGGCACCTGGGTGGCTCAGTAGGTTAAGGGTCCGACTTTGGCTCAGGTCATGATCTTGCAGTTCATGAGACTGAACTGACAGCTAAGAACCTGGAGCCTGCTTCAGAATCTGTGTCTCCCTCTCTGCCCCTCTCCCCCTCCCCCCCAAAAAATAAGTAAATGTTAGAAAAAGAAAAAATGAGGCACAGAAACACAAGTACAGCTATGCAGCTCCTTTGCATAGTTAAGAAAGGCAGGTTATTTTTTATTTGCCAGCATCCTAGTAAAGATAATGGTACAAAAGGATTAGGCCACATTATCCAGTTCCACTTACACAATTTTTCTCATTTTTTAATCATATGACAGATCTTTTGACATGCCAAAGCAGACCTAGGAAAAAGGTAACATATCTCAATTTAGGATACTGACTCTATAAAATGCCTTATTTTCTAATTATTTCCTGTCATTCCTTCCCTAAAAGACTTGTACCTAATATAGTACTAAACACAGTCAACATTTACTTTGTTATTTCTGATTCCTACAAAATGAAGATATTTCACTAAAAATACATAGCTGTCACTTGTTAAATAGATAATTTTCAATTTACAAAACCGCATATACCCATATGTTTAAGATGTCACATATAAAGTTACCTTAGAGTTGTCACCATAAGGCAAAGCTCTGCAATTGTACCTGCCCCTCCTGTTATCTCAGCACATTGAAAACGTCTGTAGCACAACCACAGAGCAAGGAAGTAAAGGTGGTGATGCCATCAAAAAGCTTGTGAGGGGGCGCCTGGGTGGCTTAGTCGGTTAGGCGTCCAACTTTCGCTTAGGTCATGATCTCGCAGTTCGTGGGTTCGAGCCCCGCGTCGGGCTCTGTGCTGACTGCCAGCTCAGAGCCTGGAGCCTGTTTCAGAGTCTGTGACTCCCTCTCTCTCTGACCCTCCCCTGCTCACGCTCTCTCTCTCTCTCTCTCTCTCCCCCCCCTAGAAATAAATAAAAACATTAAAAAAAATTAAAAAAAAAAAAAAAAAGCTTGTGAGGACTTTAAAGCTCTGGTTTTCCTCTGGAATTCTCCCATCTCTCTGTGAGCTTAAACTTCTGCTGGAAAAACCTTAGTTAAGGCAACACACTACTCTGCCATAATTTGGGAGGACTATCATATAGTTACTCTGACTCCTACTGCCATATATTTTATTGAAAAATAATTTTATTTAAGCATATACAAATAAACTGCAGCCTAACAAAATCTTTGTTGAGGAGAAGAGGTAGGGAATCTGCATACTGTGTTAATTATCCATGGCAACGAGTCAGCAATGAGTTCTAGTTATATATTTAGCTATCAAGATAAACATGCGCCCGAAGAAAGTGAGCACTAAACTAAGAACTAAACTTTAAATTAAATAAGGTAGGGGCACCTGGGTGGCTCAGTCAGCTAAGCATCTGACTCTCGATTCTGGCTCAGATCATGATCTCAAGATTCATGAGATCAAGCCCCACATGGAGCCCCACACTGATAGCACCGGAGCCTGCTTGAGATTCTCTCTCTCTCTCCCTCTTTGCCTCTCCCTGACTCGTGCCCTCTCTCTCTCTCCCAAAATAAATAAATAAAAACATTTTTAAAAATAAGGTAGTGTGCCTTATTATTTTACTGTCTAATCTGACATTTATCTGGGTCTTAGTTATAAGTTTGAATCTATCAATCAATACAAAAAAAGGTAGGTATACTCAGAATCAGGGAAGAGAAATAAGCTATATGGATGACAAAAACCAACTGACTATTGTGCAACTCAAACTCATTCCAATAACATAGCTAAAAGTAAAAATCTAGAATATTTTATGGCCAATGGTTATAGAGATCTTTTTTCTCCCTCAGTGACTTCAACAGGACACAGCAGCAAATAATGTATACCTTAATAGAAAATCATCAGGAAATAGAAGTATCTTTAGAAGAAATAAAGTGGCTCTAGTTTTTGGATTTGGTATAACTGATAGCTAATTTAATAAAAAATAGCTGGGGACAAGTTTTTTGTTTTTTTTTTAAAGAATTCCAAAATGTCACGGATTTCAAGTTTCTAAAGATTAAAAAGTTACCTGTTTAACTTTTACAATAATATTGTAATCATTTTTCTTAATTTCTGGAACTGATTTTTAAGTCCACTTTTTTTTTGCTGTCCCGTACAATTTATAAAACAGCATTTCACATATGCATGAACATACTATGCACTTGGTATATAAAGAGCTTTAACATATTGTGGATTCTTAGAAGTTTTTCAAAAAAAATACATCTATAATATTTTAAGAGGAAACACAATGATTCTGGAATATCCAGAAGGGATCTGAAATATTAAGGGTGTCACAAATTGACAGTAGTACAGGAAATATGTCTTTCTAGAAAATATGCATTTTGGGAAAAATCAACCTATAGCCACATATGTTTGGATTACTATCTGGGTTCAATCAATATTTGATACAACATGAAAAATAATCTGGCCCTAAAAGTTATTTGACTGACTTTCAAAGATGCAATTAAATAAAGGTGTACTTTACTTCAAATATGGGTATGTATTCTGAATTGATCTATAACCTACAGTTTTTCATTATGTTTCATAATTTTTTAGAAAATAATTAGTATCTAACTATTAAAAGGAGGAAATCATTTTCTGTTGATAGCTAAAAACATGTTGAATCTAAAACGTCTATAGTTAACAGTTATATTCATCTATTATACTTAGTGGATGATCCTACATTGTTCCTCAAAGCATCATTCGTGTTATGATGTGAATGGACCATTCCTATACAGCTGGTGGAAATACATTTAAAAGTTAAAAATGAATCCACCCTATTACCTACTGATTCCAGTCCCAAGTATTTGCCCAAGAGAAATTAAAATATTTATATCCTAAAATACTGGTAAGGTAATATCTATAGCAGACTTATTCATAGCAATGAATATTCAAAATGTTCACTGGAAATGATCAAATCATCAACAGGGGCATAAATAATCAAACTGTAGTAAATTCACTTGATGGAATACTACTCATCAATAAAAAAAAAAAACTACCATATTCACAGCATGAATAAGTCTCAAAAACATTATGTTGAACAAAAGAAACCACACATAAAATAGTACTGCTGCATGATTCCATTTACATGAAATTCAAGAATAGGCAAATAGTCTATGGTGATAGAAACATCAGAATAGTGGTTGCCTCTGAGAGTTGGGAATTAACTAGAGGAGGACACTTTTTCCTTTAAAAGTGACCAAATTAGTCTACATGCTATTAGGAGCACTAATTACACAAGTATATATTGACTTAAACTGTATAATAAAATCTATATGTAATTTTATAACAATAAAAATAAAATTTGACAAGATACCTCAAAAAATATTAAAAATTCTGAAATTTAATTAAACTTAATTTAATTTTAATTGAAAGGAATAAATTTTTTCCTCACACAGGACTACTTATGAAAAACCAATATCCTTAACTAAACATGCTTGCAATTATTATGTGCTTATAAAAATACATTCATACTTATCTAAAGAATGGAATTTTTAAAACATCTGCATAATTGTTATTAAACATTTAAAAAATTCTGTTCTACTCCTCCACAAACCTCTAAGTGAAAAAAATTTAAACCTCTGGGTGCCTGGGTGGCTCAGTGGGTTGAGCATCTGACTTCAACTCAGGTCATGATCTCACAGTTAGTGGGTTCAAGCTCTATGCTAACAGCTCAGAGTCTGGAACTTACTTTGTATTCTATGTCTCCCTCTCTCTCCGCCCCTCCCCTGCTCATGCTCTGTCTCTCTCTCAAAAATAAATAAACATTAAAAAACATTAAAAAAATTAAAACCTTTGAAAAATCCAACTCCTTTTCTCCTGCAGCCCAGCAATGGACTCAGAGAACTCATCACTCCTTAAGTGTGCCCTAACTTCATCCTCTTGGAATCTGAATAAATAATCTCAGGTACAATTTTCTAAGTGTTACCTAGTTAATCACTAATTCATAAATAAACCAGTACAGAGAAGCTAGGTAACTATAATGTTACTCAAGGCTACCAAATCCAAGATCAAAACTCAGGTATCTGGCTCCCATTTTCAGAACTGCAGTTACACAATCACAATGCCTAATCAACCATTTTAGTAGATCATCAGATATAACCCAAAATATATCAAGTAATATTTAAAAATATTCTACAATGGGACTACAGAAGTTTAATAATTTGACTAAGAGCTAAAGTCAACATTTGAGTAAGAAAAATTTGAAAAGAAACAAACCTTAGAAGACTTCCTTCGGCTTCTTCTTGTCCAAACTACCACCAGTTTATCTGGTTGCCTGTCAAACAGGAAAAAGATTAAGTATAATTTCAGTTCTCTTATATCAAATTAATAAGGTTCAGTTCTACTGCCTTTTTTAAAAGGACAAAGTGTCACCTACCTTAGATTACAGAGAGCAATTATTCTTACAATAAATCACTCCAAATGATTCAAAAATAGCAAATGTTGAATACAAATGTAATCTAATTTAAATGACTAATATTTTATCTACATGTTTTTCTAAAAATCCTTTAGCAAATTAATCCATTGGGACAAACCAAATAAAATACTTAGAACTGGTGACAAAAGAAAAAGCACACATATATCTTCTCTAAAAAGTAATGCTATACATCTAACATATTATCTACTTTAATCTGGAGAAAAATAGCATAAAAATGGCACTTACAAAATAATTTAAATCTATAGGTTATATACTTTTGTGTCTCATATCTTATGAACAATGCTTGTGGTTTTCAAAACATTTTTATAATCTCAAAAATCTTCATAAAAGCAGTACACTACTAAAAAAACATATAAGGTACATAATATTATTCCTATTTTATAAGCGTAAAAAACTGGCAAAGTAACTAATCAAAAGTTCTGGCACTGGGGCACCTGGGTGGCTCTGTCAGTTAAGCAACCAACTTTTGATTTTGGCTCAGGTCATGATCTCACAGTTGTGGGATCTATCCCCTCACTGGGCTCTGTACCAACAGTGAGGAGCCTGCTTGGGATTCTCTCTCTCTCATCTCTCTCTCTCTCTCTCTCTCTCTCTGACCCTACCCACCTCCTTCCTGTGTTCATTCTTTCTCTCTTACCCAAAATAAATAAATATTTTTTTAAAAATCTCTGGCAGAACCAAATATTAAATATAGGTCTTTTAACTCTCAGACCTCTCTTCTTTACCTGCTAATATAAAGTAAAACAAACAAGCAAAAAAACCTTATGTTTTCAGCTAATACAACTACATTCTCTTTAATACCTAGGAAAAATATCAAGATTATGATTATCAGTTATTTTCCTTAAGTCTTATTTTTTTAAAATCTTAGATAAAAGCTTTTTAACCAAGAAATGAATGGCATACCTATCCTGGTGACCTTTACCTCTTTCCATGTGTCATTTATTTTGCCTTAAAATCCCTCAGATGACCTGTCCTCTCTTTCATTTAATTAAATACATACATATACATAAAAGGCCACCAGCCATAAACTCCTTACCCAGTGATTCGCCTACAAACCTGTCCAAACAGAGTTGCCCAATGAAAAAGTACTACGGAACTAACCCAGAATGTAGCACAGAAAAATAAAGGGATAAAAATATTTTAAAACAAGGTAAGAGACATAAAAGACAGATTGAGACGTACATACACCTAATAGAAATTCTAGAAGTTCAGAATAGCAGGAATGGCAAAGAAAATACTGAAGAGATAAAGCTAAGAATATTCTAGACTTAAAGAGAGAGTCTTGAGATAGAAAGTATATATTAATGAACAGGATAATTAAAAATAAATCTAATAGCTAGATACAAAATATCAAACTACAAAATAGCAAGAATAAAGAGAAAAACCATAAAAAAAAAGATAGGTTACCAACAAAGGAATGATTGGACTGATAGCAATTTCTCATTAGCAGAAACAAAACCCAAAAGACAATAAAGCTAATGATCTTCAGGTTGCTAAGGGAAAACAGCTGTCACTGCTAAACTATCATTTAAGAAATGGTTTTAGACATGGCTTGGAAAAGAGCAGATAATCAATAAATATTTGTTGAATGAATGAAAAAAAAAGAAAATATATGGTTTTACACATGTGAAGACTAAGAGTTCACAATACATACATCCTAGTTAAATAAGGGAAGGAAAAGGATGCAAAAAGCAACATTAATATCGTAAAATGTTAATTCTTGTTCATTTTAGGTGGTGGAACCCCCCCAAAAACTAGACAAAAAACAGGAGGAAGGTTCCAGTAATGAAAATGACTAAGTAAGGAGTTATCTAAACAAATGCACCATGTTTCTGATGGTGATAATAACCAATAGAAAAATGGTGGTTCTCCATCCAAGACTAAGTTTAGTTCTGAGGGTCAGGCATTAAAGACAACAACTGTAAAATAAAACCAATAGCTTGCTTCAGTGAATCTTCCCACAGTGAAATGCTGGGAGCAACAGCTAAATGCAGAAGTCTAACTAAGGTGAAACAGAACAAAGTTTCTATGAAATATCAAGAGTGTTAACTGAAGAATGCAAACCGATGCAGAAACAAACAAAACCTTGTTCAACACACAGAGCAGCAGAATAGGACAAATGACAGTGAAGACGGGAAGCAGTAAAGTAACAGAGGGAGGTGGGAAGAAGGTATGATCAATGTTGACAGCTTAACAGTACAGGAAATAAGTAGCCAACAAGTGTATAAGCTACCTTGTTTGGAAGTACTTATGGTTTGCTAGAATGAACATTAAACCTAGAGTACTACACTAATCTTTTCATTATGTCCTCATCTCCACATCTCCAGGTGACCCCAACTCTTAATGATATTTCTATGGTACTTCTTTAGAAATGCTATAAAATCTTACAGCTTGTCCTTGCTTATATATATCTCTCATATCGAAGGTACTAATAACAAACTGGCGCCTACAGGGTGAATTTAACAGATTCATTTCCCTTAATAATATTCCATTTTATTTAACTTTGAATTTAAATTGTGAAATTCATTTCTAATTTAAATGCTTTAAACAAGGTCCATGTTGTCTGGATTACTAGAGCCTCCAACACTACCTTGCTTCACACCTAACCAGCTTCTACATTTGACCCTTTGGCAAACTGGCATCCAAAATAACATCCATCTTTCTGAATGTTGTTTTTATGAGGCACTTTACCACCCGACTCTATCTTCCTAGCTGCATAACCTACAAATATCTGAACATGTATTCCTTCGATCTCTTTACATTTAATGCTATGACCTTTCTTTAAAAACTTCCTCTTTCCTCCCTTTTCTACCTGATAAACTCTCTAATTCATCACATCCTCTGTGAAACCTTGACCACTTCTCATTTCATTTCTACCCCATTCCACATTCCAAACCTTAGGCAGTTACCTACCTCTACTACCGTATTTCCAGTAATACCCTAGAAACACCGGTATCTAAATATTCTATATGCCCTGTATTATATTACTATTGTTTCTATCTCCTCCACTAGATTGCACTCCTTTATCAACCATATCTTGTTTTTATATTCTTAGCAATTAATAAGAATTTGGTGCAAGACTGAGGCTCAATGACCATTTGCTACTGAATGAATCTTAAGTTTCCACCAGGAATTCCCAAATGGTTAATTATAATTGATGGTCCAACTAAAGCCAGTAGCTATAGAATACATCCTCTCTGCAGCTTATTTGCATTTTACAGGGATTCTCATGTTGGCTGCACACTGGAATCTCCTGGGAAGCTTTGAAAAATACTGATGCCTAGGTCCACTCCTGGAGAATCTGATTTAATTGGCGTCATGTACAGGTTTGTTTGTTTGTTTTTAACTCCAACAGATGATTTTAATATGCAGTCAAAGTTGAGAACCACTGTATTACATAGAGAGTGGTAAGTAATCTCTATACCTCCTGACTTAACACTAGAGAGGCATAAAGTTGTGCCAGCAGTGGGGGTATCTGACCAACTCCTTCATCTAGGCCACCATCTAGGCTACCTAACTGTTGCCTCCTTCCAGCCCAGCTTTTCAGCATCTCCCTCCCCTCCACCATTCTGACGTTACTGCTTCAGAACAGGGAAGCATTTTACTATAAAAAATCAGGACGGTGGTCTCCTAACCTACCTGCCCTAAGTTCCAAGAATGCAATTAGGACATAAATGACTTACTTGAGAATGCCCCCAAAGACAGCTAAACTTTTTTGTGTGTGTGATTCTAAGTCAGGTCTCATTTTTAAAATGTCTTTACAAGAAATCAGTCCAGGGCGCCTGGGTGGCTTAGTCGGTTAAGCGTCCAACTTTCACTTAGGTCATGATCTCGCGGTTCGTGGGTTCGGGCCCCGCGTCGGGCTCTGTGCTGACTGCCAGCTCAGAGCCTGGAGCCTGTTTCAGAGTCTGTGACTCCCTCTCTCTCTGACCCTCCCCTGCTCACGCTGTCTCTCTCTCCTAGAAATAAATAAAACATTAAAAAAAAAGAAATCAGTCCACCTTTGCATTATCAGGGCAACATTAGGCAGTGTTCTAAAACAAAGAATGGTGCTGTGAATTATTATTCTCAGTAGAAGAGTACCAATAACCACACAATTAGCTGACCACAATTAATATTTTAAGCATTTGTGCTGTAGTAGAAAAGAACCATTAAATATTTACCTATGTGCACACAGGAGGCAGGGACGGAGCAACTGTTATCCAACTACTAAAGAACCTATAATTATACCATTTTTTATCCAAAGAGTCTAGACAACCTGGTAAGCTTGGGTTTCAGAGAGAATTCAATAATCACATATTTAACATTTCTACTCTATCACCTAAGCAGCCAGATAGGCCTAAACATAATACATACACAGACATATAAACCTACAGACATATAATTATATATATGTTCATTTTATACACATGCACATAAAACGTACACAAAGATGCAATTTCTGTGAAATCTATCTAAAGAGTTCCATTAAAAAGATATGAAGTCTTTTGGTGGGTTTATTCAGGGAAGAAAACTTTTTAACAAAAATTAAAAATTTTTTTAAAAATTAAAATTTAACACCTCTAACCTACCCTCACAGTCCTTAAAAATGAACTAATTGAATGGAAAAGCGGCAAGACTTATTTCAAAGTATGGTCCTGATGCTAAATTCTGGAGAGTAGGCAGGAGGAGGAAAATAGGAGAGGAAACAGGAGAAAATAAGAGAGCTACAATGAACAAGATTATAAAACAGTAAGCAGTATCTTTCTTTGACCTGTAGCTAAATTTTATGACTTCCGCTTTGGCACTACTGACCTACTGTGTATCAAGGTAATTTTTTTTTTTTTTTTTAAATGTGG